GAGTGAGTGAGTGAGTGTGAGAGTGAGTGATTGTGAGAGTGAGTGAGTGTGAGAGTGAGTGTGAGAGTTAGTGTGAGTGAGTGAGTGAGTGAGTGAGTGTGAGAGTGAGTGAGTGAGTGAGTGAGAGAGTTAGTGTGAGTGAGTGAGTGAGTGAGTGAGTGAGTGAGTGAGTGAGTGAGTGAGTGAGTGAGTGAGTGAGTGAGTGAGTGAGTGAGTGAGTGAGTGAGTGAGTGAGTGAGTGAGTGAGTGAGTGAGTGAGTGAGTGAGTGAGTGAGTGAGTGAGTGAGAGAGAAAGTGAGTGACTGTGAGGGTGAGAGAGTGCGTGTGAGAGTGAGAGTGAGAGTAAGAGTGAGTGATACTCAGCTGTTTTACATTGGATATCAAGTGTAGACTCTAAAGTACCAAAAATAAATCTATACAAAAATAGAAATATGAATATAAAATGTAAGAATATTTAATTTAATTACTGAATTAATGTCTTTAAAATATTTTTACATATACTATTAAATAAAATAATAATTAATTATTGTAACTTCGCTTTAAAGAAGTCCACGATGACACATTAAGGAACTTTTAAGACACACTGCATTTGAATAAATAAATTAATTAATTAATATAAATAAATAAATGAATAAATACAAAAAAACATATATAAAGAGATTTACATAAGTGTAGCAGGAAAAAATATTAAAGTGTATAAATAAATACCTTGCATTTTTTAAGTTAAAATATCCCTTAAATAAAATGTTGAAATAATTTAAACAAACAAATAAATAAATGTATAAAAGTAAAAACAGTTTGTAAATGTATACAGACAGACAAGGGGTGGGGGTTGTTATATAGATTTTAATAAAAGGAATGAATAAATAAACAAACAATCTTTAAATAACTGTAACAAAGAACTCATTTGGAGGAAAAAAATATTTTAATAATAGATCCATCTACCGAATGTGCCTTGTCGTCTGCTCTCCTCTCAATAGTTCAAAGAGAACGCATGTTCTTTCATTCGCCCAAATACTTAAAAACTAATTCGAAAATGTACAATAGGGTATTATGAGAGAGAGATGGACTGAGCGAGTGTGATTACCTACATCTGATCCAGCATTCATTCTTCAGCTCAATCTCATATTCACAATAAAACATTAGTTTGAATGTCCACTGAGGAAAGCGATATATCTTTGTCGTACTCTCCTATCATCTGTTAAGGGTTTCTGATGACAGCGCTGATCAGTGTATTTTTTGGCTTCATCTTACAAGCTGTTGTTGAAAGTAAAAATAACTTCCTTGTTTACAACAGCATTTCAGTCTCTTTCAATATAAAAGTCAGTTTTATAAAATTATATTATATTATAAATATAATATTAGCACAGACAGCAGCACATAATATCATAGTAATCTTTCATAATCTCATCAAATCCTAATTGCCAAAAAAAAAAAAAATCCCATCCAAATGCCTAAATACAGTTTTTTCGCACTG